TTGTGGTTATCAGCCATTAGTGATGAAAGATCCAAAGGTGTTTGATGAACCTGAAAAGTTTGTGTTGGAGAGATTTACAAAGGAAAAAGGGAAAGAATTGCTGAATTATTTGTTTTGGTCTAATGGTCCACAGACTGGGAGACCTACTGAATCAAACAAGCAATGTTCTGCTAAAGATATAGTTACTCTAACTGCTTCTTTGATTGTGGCTTACATTTTCCAAAAGTATGATTCTGTGAGTTTCTCATCTGGTTCACTCAGATCTGTGAAAAAAGCCAGTTGAGTTTTGGGCTGTGTAGCAGCAAAATTTAAGTTTGCTAGACATGTTGAAATTAAGTCATCAGTGGCTGGCTTTTCTCTCCTCCTGTTGTGATTTGTAATATAATTTCTCAAATAAAAGTTCAAGAAGAGTGCTTGTTTTCTGTTCTAACTTATGATTATTGTCTTATCCTCTTACAAATAAAGTTGGAACATGAATCTAAGTTCTAATTGTAGAAATTTAATTTCACCTCCAAGGCTTCAACATAAAGCAAATCAAATATCAAAATATTCCAGGGGAATCTAACTACTATTAGATTCAAAATATCTAACTATTAAAACAAAGGCATAATACATAAATGTGTCATTTAACTTGGCGTCGTCTAATATTTATGTCCTCCATGTTTTGGTGTGTACAAGTAGACACTTAAACTTGTATAGAGTTGAACAAGATGGCCTACTTGGCGTCTTACGTGACAATTCACGTCCTACATGGTGTCCGACATGTATTATACCATGTAGGACCTTTATGTCTACTTATTCAACTATATACAAATTTAAGTGTCTACTTATGCACATCCAAAGTTGGAAGACATAGATATCATATGAGATTAAGTTAAATGGCATATTTATGTATTATGCCTACAAAAAAAGCATGCTTAAACTCTCAAGATCAGTTGTTTGGATCAAAGATTCAAAACACTACTACATCTCACTCTGTGTTAACTACACCAACAGATTTTCCAACTGAAGATCTTTGATCATCCTTTCCTGCCCCTGCATATAAAAAATGTTAACTGAGGATGCCTAAGATAAAATCTCAGTGAACCTCCAACACTAAGGTTGTGGGTTCGAGTCACTAAAGAAAACAGAAAATCACACAATGAGCATATTAAGAATTGGCTCATAATCAAAGAGTGCTTTAAAGTACCTTATTTCAATATATCACAAATCGAACATGAAACTCGTAGTTACCATAGATCTCTTGATTTTCTCGAATTTGCTCTGCACTAGTGATGACTGCAGAGTTGCAACCTCTTATTTTGATTGATTTCAGCGTCATTATTTCTCCAATACTCTCGGGAATCTCCTCTAGGAAATGCAACCAAGACAGGTATAGTTCCTCAAGCATCGGAAAATTATCACTTGTTGCTTCCCATCTTTCCAGATTTCCATGATGAACTCCGAGATATTTTAATTCAGGAAACACAACATCTTCATCTAGTTTCCAATCTGTCCCCCAGAATGCATTATCTGCTTTGAGCACCTCAAGATTTGGTAACTTAACCAAACACTGCCATATCTTCCCATGGGAAAAATGTAGAATTTAAACTCAATTTGGCGAGATTCGGCAGGAAAATATCTTTAGAGAGAAAGAATGGACTATTGAGTGATGCTGCTGCTTGTATATTTAGTTTCACAAGCCCCTCTAGAACAAGGAGACAATCAAGAAAAGCATTCCACTCAGTACTCCGTACGTCGTTTATCTTTAGCTTATTCAGATTGGGAAAACTTCTCAAGATTTTCAACACAACAGCAGAGGATTTGACAGCAAGTGTATGCAAGTTATTCAGAAACAAAGGCTGTTCTCCAAGAGGAGGATTAGGCATATCCACATCTGTAATATCCACATGTTTTATCTCGGACATTGTCCAAATCTCTGTTGGGAGCTGCACATTCTTCTTTTGTGAATAAATGATTATGGTTTGTAGATTGAACAATTTGGCCAGTGAAGAAGGATCGTTAACTCTTGCATCAACGTATCTCAAATGTACAAGTTGAGGTATTATACGAGAGAAATCAAAGCCGATTTCATGTGCATCCAACACCTTAAGCAGCTTGAAATCTGAAATACTATAGGGCCAGTAATATATTCCAGTAACTTCATAAGATTGACGTCCCAAAAAGATCAAGCTGCGGGTTGTAATCTTACCATTCCTATCCTTTGGATGATCACGAAAATAATCCTGAATAAGATATGGAATGATCACTCGACGATGATCATTTATGCCATCTGAGATATCATTGTTTGTGAAATGCACAACATTTTCAATTTGAGCTTCTCTTATGCACATCTGCCTTAGAAGATCGTGAATTTTACAAATTTTGATCCTTCCATTAGCCCTTCGTCCACCAACCAAAATTAGACTCCTATCTGTTAACTCTTGTAGATACTCCTCTGCCACCACTTCTAACCTTGTATTGCTTCTTGCCTTTATGAATTGCTCAGCAATCCATGAGCTAATCAACTTCGAAACACGAATCTCCATATCTTCAGGAAAACTTCCTATATAGAGAAAGCATGCCTTCAAGTATTGAGGCAAGTAATTGTAGCTCAAAGAAAGAATAGCTTGACACTGCTCTGAAGCCGTACCAAAGAATGAGTTCAAATTTTCCTCAATTTTCTTCCAATTATCGTGTGTCCGTTATAAGTCCAGAAATGACAACAATGGATAGAGGCAATCCTTGACATTGTTGTATGATATGCTTCCCTGTTACTTCTAGTTGTGGAGGACAAGGATCTTTTTTGAATAGTCTTTCAGTAAATAGATTCCAACTATCATCTAAACTTAGAAAAGACATATCATGAGGAAAATCAGAGGAGCTAGCATGATTAGCTACATTCTTTAGACGAGTGGTTAGTATAATTCGGCTTTTATTGTAATCATTTGTAAATATTCTTCGCATAAGATTCCAAGCCTCAGTACTCCAAAGACCAAAGATCATCGATAACAATTAGAAATCTTCTACCCTTTAAACCTTTGTACACCGTCTCCATTAGTTTATCATTGCTCATGATTTCTTGATTGATTTCAGTAATTGAAGAGACAACATCAAGAAGCATTTGTCTCTTATTATAATCTTCAGAGATAGTGACCCATGCATGTTTATAGAATTGAGAACGAATCATTGAATCATCAAAAACTTTTCTGGCAAGAGTTGTCTTACCAATACCACCCATACCAACAACTGATATGACTATTAGCTCTTTTGTTTGAGCATTGATGCAATTTAGTATGGTATTGAGGTCATCTTTCATCCCAACAACCGTCTTTTCCTCGGTTGTACTTTGTCGTGATGAAGGGAAAGTTGTTGCTGATTCTGGTAATTTGCTAAAATCCAATATGCTTGTTAAACTTGATCACCATCACCTCTTTCTTGAGAAAACAACTTTTTCCACTTGTTGCAATTCTTCATTGAAGGCTTTACAAGCCCTTACGCGATCGTCGTCTCCATTATCTAGTAGAATGATGCTTCTCAAGCTTGAATCAATTCTATCTTCTGCTTTGTAGACTACATCTTTGATCCTCTTTTCTAAGACCTTGACATCTTCAATATCTTTGACTTCCATTGTGGTGTTCTCAAGAAAAACTTGAAGATCACATAAATCTTGATAAAGAGGTTCAACATGTTGTTGTATAGAGGTGTTTCCAGTACAAATCAAAGGTGATTTAGACTGAAGGAGTTGTTGCAGTGTATGCATAAGTGAAAGAAAGAGCAGCATAAGCCATTTTGTTTCCTCTTTGAATTTTATGTTTCTTTGCTTTCTTTTTCTGTGAGCACTTAGCTTTATTAGTCAAATATATGAAACAGTCAAGAAGGTGAAGCACATGAATGAAGTACTACCTCCCACACAATTGACTTTTCTTATGAAGTCATTTTCTCATAACCAAGCAAACTAATCCCTCCGTCTCAACTCAAGTGTCTTACTTTTCATTTTGGTCTATCCAAAAAGAGTGTCTCTTTCTATGTTTAGTAAGTTTTTTTATTCCAGCATTTTACGTGGCAAGTTTAAAGATCACAAGAATTCAAGTCTCTCTTTGTTTCCTAAGCTCTGTGTTTGGTCAAACTAAGACACATAAATTAGGATGGAGGAAGTAGTACTCATCTAATGTAGTGAATGGATTGCCAACTGGTTTGTTGACTATGCAATCCACTAGCTTTAGACTACTATTATACCTGTACTGCTACTAATTTAATTCTCCACCAACCTTGCCTTTAATTCCCAGAAGCAAAAGATATAAATATGATAAAACTACACAGCTAAAACAACATTTAAAACACTATTTATGTCTTTAATTACCAGTTTAGCAGGATTTTTTATGTTAATAGTTTCTTACTGCCATATTGTCTGCAAGTTCTAGGAATGCAAGTGGTTGTGAGGTTATAAATTCGTGAGTAAGTCTTGGTTGATTAGTTTATCTTATCTTGTGATGGTCACCTCAATGTGACACATTCATTTTTGGGACGGATTCAAATTGGACCGAAGGGAGGAGGAAAAAAAGAGTTCTCTCTTCCTGGTCCTATCGACTTCCTTCACGTCCTAAATAGACCGATTAAGTGGGGATTTAGATGTCACTGAGGTGATTGCAAGCGTAGGGCTAGAAGGTTCAATCTAAAGATTTCTATTAACATTGTTAGATTTGTAGATGATGCTTCCTCCACCACTATTTAAGTGTTGTGACTAGGTAATAATTTCTTAACCTCTTTATGTTCTTGCTATAAAGTGGGTCACCCTCTTTTTGGCTTAGGCCAAAACATTTTTTCTCCAAAAAAGATGTATGTTGGAATCAAATCAAAATGATACTACATCTAGTTTGTTCCCTATCAAAGGCAATTCAATTCTCAAAGGCTTGGGACGGATCATGTGTTACAATACCAAGTTCATTTGAACCCAACACTTCCAATGTGAATTTATGTGTAGAAATTAATTAAAATCACAGCAACTAGTAGATATGAGCTCATAAAAACAATGCAAGAACATACAGCCATTTGATTATTTATCATCCTCGATCCAACTCAGAGTCCAATCCAAAATACATACAATCCTCATCTTCAGCCCAGAATTGACTGAGGATATTATAATGGTGGTTCGTACAGAACCATTTCAGAAGAGATGAACAATATACAAATTAAATTTTCAAGTTATTCGCAGCAGATGAAAAGTTTACAAGGCCTGAGAGAAGAATACTTAGGGTCCAGCAATCTCCAGTAACTATCAACACCCTCCAAAATTTGAGGTACAATGCACTCACTCCCCTTCACTCAAAACTGGAACAATGAGTGGTTTCAGCTGTGCAAGATATACAATCGCCCACCTATTTCAGAAAACAAAGGAAATGTTTCATATGTTTTGATAAAACAAGAAATGGATTTCATTAAAGCACTAATTTATGAATAAGACAGGTATGTTTGGGTGCGCGTGTAGGTAAACCTCAATAATTGGAAAAATTTAGGAACAAGTCCTTCCAGTAAATTTGCTGCCTGCCCTAACTGGGATAACAGATGTCCAGTCATAAGCTCGACAGAAAATCATCAAGCTCAAAGATGTAGATATCTGTCGGCAGCATAATAAAGCTGTATGTTTGTGAATACCTAGTTGAGGCATTTTTAAAAAGGTAGAATTAAAGAAAAGGCCTCTGTACTTGTCAAAGTTTAGTATTCGAGAGCTGTCGGTCACGATACAACAAAGAGATATCATATATCTTTATAGTTCTAGATCGAGGAGTTGACCAAATTTGGAAGACAATTACAGCACTGTCAAAGTCAGTTGCCCAACCGGATGTTGCACTAGGAGTCCAAAAAGTTATAGTTGGGATTACTCTAAGACTACTTCATGTTCATTCTTTTCTCAGCTGTTCAGACAGTAATCACAGCCCCTGATCTAAATTGGATATCAAATCTCTTAGACAGACTTTCTTGTCACCACGAGTTCTATGATCCCCTCAGGCTATGTGTACTAAGATACAAACTCACTGGGAGAGCAACAAAAAGCATTTCATGATCCATCAATGACTACGTAAAATGACACGAAAGTGTGGCTTCCTTAAGAATAATGACTCCTAATTATCTTCAGGATTCATGAAAACTATCATAGTATGTGCCTGGCAGCTAACGTAGAAAGCCCCTAATTAGAAGATTACTAAACCCCTTGAGAGGGTTTCCTTTGGAGAGATTAACAGAATATATTGATAGGTGGACAGTGTATTTTTTCCCAATACAAGTGAATCAATCAGAGTGAAGGCCTTAATATTTGCCAACAGTGGTATTCTTCAGATTCCTTTGGCAAGATTCACAAGATGAAGCTGTGCTATTCGCAAAAGGAAATTACTGCAGCACAAAACTTAGATTCGATGAAGCAATTAGCAAAATTATAGAAGCGAAGCAAGAAGACAAAAGTTGGATTCAAGTTATTCAGAAGAGTCGAACAACTTAAAAGCAAAGGTGGGGAAAGTGAGACAAAAGTCAAAACCACATTTTTAGCAATTCACTAAGGTTCACAAGCCTCTCATTAGATGGAATTTTCTATTTGGATCACACTATTTGCATTTCATTCATCCTTCCTGTGACAACTATCAAGGAAGAGAGTTTGAGCTTCAAATTGTGTTTTACAGGTTTTAGGTCACATGAAAACTAAAAAAAGTTAATTTCAGTTTTTTAAGTTTCTAATCAAACTTGTTCTTCATGATATTGTCCAGGCCAATTTACACCAACCTTGACTAATTCACTTTTGCAACCTGTTACAACCTACAAGCACATGTGTTGGGTAAACATGCCCCCATGGCTAACTAGATACACTCAAGGGAGTGCTCCAACTGAGATTGAACACTTGTACCTCTACCATTCAACCATCCCCTTGGGGACAGCTGCTAATCAAGCTTTTTTCTTTTCCTTTTTTAGAACATAACTGCAAATCAAACTTATGTCACTCTCTTTGCAATATGATTATGTAAAAATTATCAATAAGTTAAAGATAAGACAAACTTTGAAATTGAACCTTGAGTATTTAGAGAGTAGTTAAATATCCCATCTGAGGCAGTAATTCACAAATGTATTAAAACATCCTGATCATATCAGAAATTTGTCCATAAAAGTCATATTTCATCGAATAGACTAGGGCAGAAGGATTTTTTATGTTTACAGTTAAACCTGATTCAGCTTTTCCTATTTGAATGTAAACTTTCAAGTATTTTTCTTTATGAGTCTACTGGAAAACTTGTGGAATATTTCATGTGATAGAAGTTGAACGAGTAATTTCATAAATTTAAATTGTTAATTCAATTTGGTGCATGCTTGCACTTCAGAACCTTGTGGCCTAATAGGTAACAAGCAGATGAGCTCCCCTAGTTTACTGACTCTACTCTCCTTAAATTATTACAACACATTGCTAGGAGAATCATTTTCTAACATGAGAAAGGTTTTATTGCTCCCTTTCTGCTACTTCACATAGTATTACTTTACAAGTAAATAAATCCATGGCCAATTATACATCAGTTCTCGAGTCTTCTATTTTTTCAACCTTTTTGCAGCATTGGTTTGGGCTTGGGACTTTCATGTTGGAGGTCTCAGGTTCGAAATCCCTTGCCAGCAAAAGCAAGGGGTTTGCCTTCTGGGTCGAGCTCGTCGCACCGGGCTTGCCTAATGCGGGATACCTCGCGAGCTATTGCATAAGAGCGGGGGTTTTACCATGTGCGCTCCCAATATTGCATTCTTTATCTCAATTTTAACATGGTCTCTTCTTTGTCAAGAAAAAGTAATCAAGGTATTTATTTATTTTCTTCCAACTGAACCTTAGCTCAAGTTGAACATTGTTCACTTCGTATATATCATTTGCTTTCTCTCACACACACTGATGTTTAGGTTACGCTAACTAAGTTTTAACTGCTAAATGTTACAGGTCTGCTGACGCTTTTATGAAAAAATTAAGTAAGATGTGTGCTTTAGTGTAGAAATGCACATAAATCATTATGAATCAAAAATATAAAGCTAGAAACAATAACGATAATAATGAAACAACAATTTTTTAAATAGATGATTGAAAATTTTGTTATGACATAATATTTTAAGTAGCAACCAATAATTGAGTTCAAAGTCAACTTAATGCAGAAGCAAAGATGTACTTTTTCTGGACTGAGATGAGTTTCAAAGGATCGACATGGACAATGAAGATTCATATAGTCAACCCCAACTTGCTTGGGATTGAGGTATAGTTGTTGTTGTTATTGTTGTTGTAGTATTTCTTAAACAAAATTCTAATTTCCTATCCCTTATTAATAACTTCATTTTAAAACAGTATTTCTTAATATCAAAGTTATTAAGTTAAGAAAAGCAGTATTTCTTAATAATATTGTGTTCATCTGCAATGTTTTTTTGTTTTGTCGATTAAGACATTATTTTTCTGTTATATTTATCTTTTAAGTGTTGTCCTCTTCAAGCTAGAGCCAAGAGCCACACAAATTCACCTAATTTTTTTACAAACTGCTGGTCGATTAAATTTTCTGAGCTGCACTTCCTAACATCCTCGTATCTTCCTTAAAACGCTACCTAAGCAATCCAAAGTACTAGTTTTTATTAAGCCTAACTCTAGAAATTACCATGCCTTAACTGCACCTTTGACAATATTGCCTTGCTATTATGAGAGACTCAGGTGCATCTTCCGCCAAAGCTAAGACTAAAGTGATAACTTCATTCTTCTAGAAAAGAATCAGTTAACCATGCTTCATATTATGATCCATTGGATTAGACATATTCCAGTGAGTTAGAAACAAATTGTCTTTGACATGCTTAACTGATTGCTAGATTTGGAAAGCTTTTTTAGAATTAGTGACAGATCAGTGGTTCAAATAAATCGTTTCTTTCTGCCCATGCTGTGGCTCGAACAAAGAGTCTATTTTATCCACCCAAACTTTAAAAGGACAAAATATGAAATTTCATACTCTACTTATAGGCATCAAAACATATTCAAGTATAAGAATTTCATGGAACAATACTTTAATCTACTCCTTATCTTGTTTCGCAAGTAAAACAGAAATTTCAACCATATATAACACTTACATCATCCAACAGCACACGGTCGCCGTGATAATCAATGTTAGGTGTAACCTGCATCATAAAACACAATCAACCACATTAAGGGGGAGAAAAAGTTCAAATACTTCCACAGCATTACTAACAAAGAAATCAATCTCAAAATATCTCAAGCCATTGATGAAGAAGGAAAAACTACTTTACTTTACCAAATTTTTAAGCCAGATACAAATAATAAATCATTAATATAAACTTAGGATTCACCTTTGAGTTAGCAGTTCTAGAAGGAAATAACCAAAAAGAATTAGCTAATACATTACAGATACACATACAAAACTAAAATTAGGGAACAAAATCTGAAAGTCTGTTATGAGTAGCTCCAAGTAAATTAATCCACGAAAAAAGTAAGTACCGTCATCCTATAGAAATCTAGACAATATGAAGCAAAAAAATAACATACAGATTAGTAGAAGGCCCTTTATTGCAGCAGATTCTGGCGCAGAGAGATGCAATAACACCAATTGCAACAAAAATTAGAGTTGTCACCAGGAATCCCATTTTGGTATGGATCTAACCAACAATCTCTCAGATGCCTCTTATTCCCTGCATTACCAAAAAATATGTTTGATTTTAAATGAAGAATCAATTTGAGCGAAAGCACATAAGATGAACTAGATGTATACTGCAAAAACTGATGGAGATATACAGAGACGAAGACGTACAGTTATGGAGAGAAACAGAGAGAGAAGCTGGATCCGAAGTTGGAATGAGGTGGATCAGTATGTGATCAAATCATTGAGGGTATTCAGAAATTTTCAGTTTTCAACGGGGTAATCCAGTCATTGTTGTTCGGGATATAAAATGGGACAAAATGGTCCTTATTCAATAAGCTTTGATTTTATTTGGTTCTTAGGGCCCGTTTGGCCATGCGATATGGTATCATGATATGGAATCATGAGATGAAATTGAAGGTTTGTTTGGACATGCGATATGGAATTTTTGTGTTGTATATTTTTTCATAAACATAAAATTCCATAAGTTGTAAAACTATTAAAATAGCCCCAATTGTTTATTCAATCTTATCAAATACACAAAAAATTATAAAATCGCATAATAAATTATTACAAAGTTATTTGCTCTCCACTTAAGTAATTGTTTCATCTAACTTTAATTTAATAAAAAAAATTGAACATAAATTGTAGTGTTGCACCGCTTTAGGAACCTCCTTTGCGATTACGATATGTTTGTTGCACCGCTTTAGGAACCTCCTTTGCGATTACGATATGTTTGTTGCACCGCTTTAGGAACCTCCCCTTCTATATATGCTCCATCAATCGCACCAACACAATCCTACCAAATAAAAAAATACATCAATATTAGTTTAGTGAACATAAAATAAATTGGAAGCATTATAGAATGCACTTCATAAAAATAATGTTTGTAAGAGTAATAAAAATAGTGCTTCCAAGACAATGCAAAGTCATAAAATAAATATTATCTCTTTGAACAAAGTTGATAGGAAATATGTAACTAAATTAAGGCCATAAAATAAATATATTAATGTGATTGAAATTTTACCTTAAACCAAGGCCAAAATCGAGTATTATATCGAATTTTGGAATGTACACCAGTCATTTTTTTGGTTGTATAAATGTTGGTGCCATCTTGCTAATTGCCTCGACAACTATTTTAACATGCCGGTTAATTATTTCAAGTGAATGTTGAAAAGTTTCACAATTGTGAGGTGTGAGTTAAAGTGACTATATGTTGGTGAGAATAATAAACTTTATGTCGGTGAAAATAATAAATTTTAAAAAGTAATGATGTGATTATAAATTTTATTTACATATGAAACAAATGGTTAGTAAATATAAATGTGGGGTTGTTTTAACAAAATATAAATTCATGGATCAATTATTGTATTAAAAGATCCCAAATCATGATATGGAATCACCATATAATTCATATCATGATTTTTGGAGAATATGGTATCACCTCTCATGATATAGAATCATGAGATGGAATCAGCGTAAAATTGCATGTCCAAACGCTGATTCCATCTCACGATACCATATCGTGATATGGTATCGCATGGCCAAACGCCTACTTAATCTAGATGGGGTAGGGTTCAAATTTTTCATCCCATTTAGGAACGAGGCTATTTAGCCATGCCTCATTTGGCCCGCAAGCCTCAGATAATTTTAAAATGGATAAACTATTTTATTAGACATACATCACTACTATATATATACTAATATTATCTTTACTTTCAAATAATTACATATATTAGCACTTTTAATATTTTATATCATTTATTAATATATTATTTGAAGATACAATTAGATACCCACATCCCTTAAAACTAGGATTGATTAATTATCTGCATAATTAACTCTTTCACTCCAAATCAACCACTATCTCTTAATCCTCCCTCCCATATTTATCACTCAAATTTCACCATACAATTTCATTCTAACAATAGCTAATCTACTCTCTTCTTCTCAAGATATCATCACCATGACCAACAAATTCTCCTAAACCCAAATATTATTTTGTCTTGTTCATTTATAACGAGATCAAATCAAAGTAACTGCTACAGAGAAAACTTTCAATTCAAAGTGGGTCTTGATTGTTTGTCTTCGAAAGAAATGAATCTTAGTTTTGATTATGTTATGCCACAAAGCAAAAGGATCAAAGAGAGTATTGTAGAGAGTTTTTGTTTGTTGGTGTTCTTTAAGGCTTTCTTTGGTTATTGTGACATTGATGTGGTAGTACCAATATTATTTCGATATAGCCCTTGAAACATGTGTATCCAATAAGTAATAATCTTAATTAAGATCTGAGTTTGTATTTTTAGTAATGGGGTATCTGAATATGTATATGTATCCACCATTTAATTTTAGATACATGATTTTTAACAACACCATGATATTCATGATACGACATACTCTACAATCGTGATTTGCTCTTAAATTTATGTGTTTCAGCTACATTTCATAGTTAGATACACGTAATTAAATGTATATGCTTATTATGTATTTGAGATACATGTTTTTAGATATAACGTATGAAATTCAGATACACATAATTAGATGTATATGCTTATTCTTTTTGTATATTCCATATTTAGATACACATAATTAGATGTATATGCTTATTCTTTTTGTATATTCCATATTTAGATACACATAATTAGATGTATATGCTTACTATGTATTTGAGATACATGTTTTTGGATATAACATATGCAATTGATACTTGATACATCAAATTAATGCTAGATACATATAAAAGATACATGAAATTAATATTAGATATATATATAAATAGATACATAAAATTAATACTAGATACGTATAACAAATTATACATGAAATTAATGTTAGATACTTCTATGATACATATGAATGTACTTGTATGACACTCATGCATCTAAGTGTTTAGTTTGTTGGATACATCATATATTGATAATAGATACATCACATTAATGAATTTATTATTTTAAGAGTAATAATTTGAAATTAATCAAATTTACATTACCAAGATATACATGTTTTTATCTTATATTAATAATATTAATGAATTTACTATTTCAAAGAATAATAAAATGAAATTAATTATCTATGTATTTTGAAAACCTCAATTACTCCTCTAATTAAGGAAATCAGTTACAACCAATTAATTTAAATAAATAAATTTTATATCTCAATTTTAAAATTCGGCAAATACATGTATCTCATGAATTCAGACTCATGTATCCAAAGCATGAAATATGGTAGAGGAAGTAATATTTGAAACTATTGGGAATCTTAATAATTAAGAACTAAACTAGTGGGATTTATGTGGCTTGCCCTTTTAAAATATCAATATAAAATCAAGATTATATTTTTTACATATCTTTTACATTTTAGGGTCATTAACCTACTAAAATTTCTTATTAGCCCAAGTTCATTACTCCATTTAACTAAGAATCTTTGACTTCTTTTACTTTTTTTTTATGCCTAATTTTTCACTTCTTTATTGTCTTGTTTATGAAAATAGTGATCATGTAATGTTTTTTGCTCGGATAAAACTTATGAATGTTATATCTTGGCTATTATGTATTTGCTTTGTAAATATTCACTGAAGTATGTGTAATTCATCAACGTTCGTATTTTTTCTAAGAGGAAAATGTTATCCATTTTTCTGTTGAAGGGTCAACCCGTCCCAACCCGTGGCCCGCTTAGGGCTGGGTTGGGCTGCTATTTATAGGCCCTTCAATTAAAAGGGTCAGCCCGTCCCAACTCATTTAACTCTCTAACCCGTTAGGGTTGGGTCGGGTTGGATTGGATCAGCCCATTTTGACAGCTCTAAACACATGTCATTACCACAATTTTTTAGAATTTTAAATTTTAAATCATTTTAAATAATAAGTAATAAATAATTATTTAAATAAATATTGAAACATGTTAATAATTACAATTTGATAAATTCTACTGTACTTACACAACTTTTTAAATAAACAAAAATAAATTATTAATTACATTTTGATAGATTCTACGATAGTTACACAACATTTTAAATAAACAAAAACAAATTATTATTTAATTATTAACTAATTAAATATTAAATATTCTAAATTCAAGGAACTTTTTAATATACACATGTCATCTTCTCATCAATTAATAACTAATTTTAAGATTTAAAATAACAATTATTTAAACGAAAACTGCACAATATAAATGACCGTTTCAATTAATAACAGCTACAAAACTGCCGAAATAAATAAATATAGTTTTAAAAACATTTTTTTACTCTATTTATTTTTATAGATAGGTGGTTTACTACTATCATTATTAATTTTACATATAAGGTGGTTGATAACTATTCTTATTTATCTCAATATTTAAATATTTTCTTTAAATAAATCTATTAATATCCAAACAAAAAAACTGTCTATTAAAACTTCCTCCCCACATATTTCCATCCAAAAACTGTCATATCCATTTAAAGAAAACAAAATTTCCTTTATTCAAACAATACCCAAAATTCTCACTTAAATTTTTAAAAGACGATTTTCTTTCCACAATTTATTTTCCCATCCCAAAAACTTATTTATAAAAGTTAATGGGTTCTCCATAAAAAATCAATGTTGTGGTTCAATTACATATATTTTAAACAAAAGATTAATTGGATTCAGCGGGAAATAGAATTTGAAAAATATGGGCGATTGATTTAAATGCATGACTAAGAAGAAATGAAGAAAAATCGAAGGAATATCAAGACGTCAATCGAACGAAGATATCGAAGATGAGATCGTTAGTAGAGTAAGAGTTATTGCATAAAAATTTTATCAATAAAAGTCCAACGACATCAATTGACTCAAATATTTGATGGGTCAATATCAAGAAGTTGTTATAATAATGTTTGGTGTCTCTAAAGAAACATATTCTCACTGCACCTAGATTAGAGTAATTAATTTTATTATCATGAAGTGTTTATATAAAATCATCACATTATATATGGTTACCTACTCTTGCACATAGGCAATAACACTATTTACTATTTTTATGAAGATATTTTTCTTTAATGTATGTGCTTACATTTTTCGATTTTGTGATTTACTACTATTTTAAAGTTCTTATGTGAAAATTGTAAATATTAAGGTTGAGTTTATAGTATGATGCAAAATTATCCCATTAAACTTCAACTTATTGCATATATATGCCATTAGCATATAGATAAATATCAATTATTTTATATATTTTTTCTACCTGTTAGGATGTTATGTACAATAGAAATAATCTTTCTTTTGCATAGAGATTAAATAATAATATTTAAATAATGACATACAAAATATACATTTATGAAAAAACGTAAATCAGAAATATTTGAATT